CATTCATTCACGGATTTGCGCTACTGTCTTCATACACAGACGAAACTTACTAGAGAAGTGTGAAGTGTGACATAATATACCTCGGTAGCCCCCCGGGATCACTTAAATTTCACGATTAAAAATCACGAATTGAATCACCCTTAACTCCCAAACCCCGGGGGCTATCGACGCGGGGGTGCTCATTCGAAAGCGGGCCTCTAGACCAGGGGTGGCGAACTCCGGTCCTGTAGAGCCGCAGCCCTGCAGAGTTCAGCTCCAACCCTAATTAAAACTCACCTGCCTGTAGCTTCCTAGTAACTGTTCAGACCTTGATTAGCTTGTTCAGGTGTATTTGATTAGGGTTGAAGCAAAACTCTGCAGGGCTGCGGCTCTCCAGGACCGACGTTCGCCACCCCTGCTCTAGACGTACACTCGATTCGCGTTCGAGAGGGTTCCACGAGCTGAAGGGATCCCACGAATTTGGTGCGGATTCGCTGCGCCGTTACGGAGATATGGCCATTCAAAGTTTCAATGGTTTTCCATAGACTTCAACTTTAAAGCGTTTCATCCAGGTTGCCAGTAGCAACCTGGTGGACAAACTAAGTAATTACATGTTCATTAATTATATGTTCATGTTGTAAAAGAAATGCTCATATCGGCGTAGGGCTGCACGATAAATCGAAATGGAATCGAGATCGCGATTCGACAGAAGCTGCGATTGTCATGCGTATCTTTCAGTGAAGCAAGGTTCTGTGATCAGCAGTAAATCTCCATCCTCTCGCGCTGAAACTCCAAATACGCCTCGCAGAAGAAACCCAGAAAATGGGTTTATTCACTGCAGCTGAATAAACAGAAGACTCAACTGCTTTCATTGATTCAATGTGACTAATAAACACACGACTACGGCAATATACGGTTTATCTGAGTTCTTATTATTATAATTTTCATTAAAATAAAGTATACTTTTAATGCCATGCCTTTATCACTGCTTAAATACTATGAAATATTTTGTGTGGCTTATTCGGTGTAAGAAGCCACATCATCTCACAGAAGGATTTCTTTCAAACACTCGACCGACATTATGAAGTGAGTTTGGAGTAAAAATATGTTATTAAATGTGGTATTTTCACATGCTTTCAGATGGAGCAGCATTTACTTCACAGAGCCATAGTTTACTGAGAAGCTATGCAAACAGCTGTCATTATCACAAACGATTTCAGAATTTCTGCTATTTTTTTGCGTAACTTGTCAGTGAACTATGGCTCTGTGTAGTAAATTCTGCTCCATCTGAAAGCACGTGATGATGATTTCCTGCTGATTACAGAACC